CATCCTGAAACTGCTAAGAATCACCCAGTAGCCTTGTTACTGGCATTACTGACATTTGACATTTGTCGAAATGAGAAAATGAATTCCTTGTGTTAGAAAACAGGGATTAAAATCATGTCAGAAACTCGGAAAGGCGAACCCGTTAACAGAAAATCTTCGATGAAATCCATATTTTCGATTTAAATGCAGATTCCGTAAGTAATAGCATAAACAATGAATGCACGCGGTGTATGTTTGGTTGCCTATAAAACAATCGTGCATTAATAGACAAATCGTTCATTAATAGGGGTCATTTATGAACGATTTCATATACGAGGTCGACGGAAAAAGTATTTATTTAACTTGCAATGTATGGATGTTTGTTAGTTCGGGTGGAATCTTTGAACTCAATTTTGAAGTAGATATCTTCAACCGATTTAGCTGAAATTTTGTATACACGTTTAGTTTGGATGACAATGCACGATAAGGTGTGTGAAGTTATTCTAAATCCAATATGGCGGACCATCCAAGATGGCGGAATATTTATTTTCAATGCAGTTCTACAATATGGGTATCAAAAACAAGGGCTCGTTGGGAGTAACTCGAAAAATTATGTGACGTCATTCTGAATTCAATATGGCGGACCATTCAGGATGGTGGAATAGTTATTTTTAATACACTTCTACAATATCGGTATCAAATGAAATGGCTTGTTGAGAGTAACCCAAAAAATAATGTGACGTTATTCTAAATCCAATATGTTATTTATAATTCACTTGTACAATATAGGTATCAAATGAAGAGACTCGTTGAGAGCAACTCGGAAAATAATGTGACGTCATTCTGAATCCAATATGGCAGACTATCCAAGATGGCGGAATAGTTATTTTTAATCTACTTTAACAATATGGGTATCAAATGAAGCGGTTCGTTGACAGCCACTCGGAAAATAATGTAACGTTATTCTAAATCCAATATGACGGAACTTCCAAGATGGCGGAATAGTTATTATTTTGGGGTTGTACAGTACACAAAATGCAAGGTAGTACTTAGTACTGTCGACTACGCCGTTATTAACCTAGGTTCGAAGCTCTTTGCTGCTGGTCAAGCATATGTGGATAATTTCCCCACTGGAAGCTTTTTATTATTTTTTTTTTACTTTTAATTCATTTTTTCTAAACAGAAAGTGACACGTTTAATATCGCCAGTCACTTTAGCACAGATTGGAGATTGCTCTAATGAGAAGAATTAGGTAACCGTAACCGATCAATGTGACAATTAAATTTGAGATGTAACGGTTGTTTATTCCATCAGTTCGCTTGAAATAATTAATAGGAAATAATGACAGGCGACTTAGAATCGCTGCTTAGGTTCGACATATTTGGCTTTACCAATTTAGAACCTATCCATTTTAGACTAATCTCACCTCATTCAACGATGGATTTTGTAAAAAGAAGTGGATTATACAGTGAACTGTAACCTCTAGGCACCTACTATTCTTTGCTCTAGGGGTGAGCCACAATAGACCCATCTGAGGTCGCAGTGGAGGGGTGGTATTTGCCGCACTCACGTGGAACCTAACCTATAACCTAGCATCGCTGCACTATGGATAGGTATAATAGTCCCAAAAGGAATCAAATTGGTCAGTTTGGTCCCAGCTTGGAGGGACTGAAAAAGTTAAAAGGACATTGTTGATGAATATGAATGTACTCTGTATTTTTTATATTTGTTATGATTGACCTTGTCAGAAGACTTTGAAGAAAAATATAACGTTGAAAACAGTAATTTCATTGAAACTCAATTACCGACTAGACTCATGACAGACATACTTTACTGCAAAAATTAAGAAATTTACAGTTTACCTTGTTTTCCTATTACTGTTATCGAAATTGCGAAAAATAATATTCATTCATGGTTCGGCAGGGCATAAGGACCTCGATAAGGACTGAACGTTTTTCAATATTTCATTCGCATTACCGGTCATGTTTAAAGCTGATAATCCCATTTCATTGTTTTCAACCGTGACGTCATTTCCGTTTGAGTACACCTCCCCTACCTGCCCTTGAGTTTACCAACTCCATAGTTGGTAAAGTTAAAGGCATATTTGAATATTTGTTCACAAAAAATGATGAATGTGGAAAAATAGAGGATATGATGGAAACATTCGGATTCTACGAAAGCGCTGAACGGACATGATATGTTTCTTATAATTGCCAGTTTGAACTGGCAATTAGCCATAATTGCCAGTTTGAATTGGCATTTAGCTATAATTGCCAGTATGAACTGGAAATTAGCCATAATTGCCAGTTTGAACTGGCATATAGCGCTTTCATAGGAAAGGACCCGCAAATTTTCAAGGTAAATTGGGTCCCGGTGGATTTTTCTCAATTTTTGGTATGATGTAGTTCATGTGGTTCTATAAAATATTTTCATTGAGCCAACCCCCAAAAAAGAACAGTTCTTTTCAGGGGCGGCGAGTTTTGTTTTGTCCAATGGGTGCCAAAATTGAGGGGTTAGGGGAAGACAAAATTATGCGCCGCAGGCGAAAATTTTTCCTGGTTCAAGGTCAAATGCCTTTAAATTTCAAGATCAAAGCATTATTTATTTGGCATCACGTGTGAAACACCTCTACCAAAAGATAATCTCTTGTGACTAATCGAGTTTCGAGTTAATGGTTTATATATTAATATGAACAAGAATGAGAAATAGAAGAATCACCATGGAAAAAAATTAACATAACTCAATTTCTACGAAAATAAAATGAGATTCAATTATTCTGATATCTATTCAGTATTAAAAAAATGGAATAGAGAAACTTTGGGATTCGAAAAAATTAGCAAGTGACCCCAGTTATTTCATTGAAGGTATTCCTACTAACTGTAATATTATCAATGGATTCATCAGCCACTGTATTTATGTCTAATTCATTCATTTAAAACGCCATTTCTATTTCTTTTTCGAACTGGCACTTGTAACCTGTGATGTTATTATGTCTAAAATTTAAATCGGAATATCTTCACACAATGCACAGTGTCAAACCCTGGATACACATCGACCGCGAATCGAATATACGGTTCGTATGGTTGTTTACCTATACTTGTCCAGCAACAATGTGCAACATTTACAAGTGCTCATTTCGCCCGTATCTAATTTGTTTTTTTATATGTCTGTTTCGGCCAATGGGTGCATTGCACCCATACCCACTGCCTACATGAGTGCATTGGCCCCGATGCCCCCATGAACTCTTCGCCCCTGGTTCTTTTGCCAGGGGGGTTTGAATTCACATTTCCATCAAATTGACCATTTATTTCCGAGAAAATGGACGATATTCCAAAACTCTTCATTCCATTTAATTACTTTCATAAATAGATTCTTCATAAAAAAAATATAATGGGGGGGGAATTATTACCCCCAACCTCTATTTTGAAAACCAAAAACAAAAGAATTCCCTCTAACTGTCCAAAATGATGTTTCATCACTGATAATTATGGAAACTGCATTTTTGCACTATAACCCCCTACCAAATGGGGAGTGCAAATGAAAAAAAATTCGGTGGTTTTTGCTGAGTTTTTGTATGATGTAGTGATGTAGTCCATATGATTCTGATCAGAAAATCATCGGGTGACAATCCTAAAAAATTGACAGTTTTTCTGCTGTAGGGGGTTTCAATTCTCATTTTGTAAAATATAGGCAACCATTTGATTCTGAATAGAAAGACAACTATTTTCAATATTGTATTCCTATTCCTTAATGATTTTTCATTCGGAAATATTGGAGGCGTTGTCACCCTAGATGTTTCCTTTCCTTGTATTCACCTTTTAAAATTCATAGTTGTTAGTTTAATTCTTAGTTTAGTTGAATCTATAACCCCAGCATAAGCGGCACCACAGTTATTAATCTGTGACAGTACCTTTATTCACTAATGGCAAATTGTGATTTTACCTAACAATTACAAAACAGACATTTAATGAAAAAATACTACTAGTAGTACTAGTACCTACTTACCAGCAGCATGAATTATTCAAGAACATAAAGCACGAAGTCAGTACATTACTCACTTTACTGAAATATCTTCACTTTTCTTAACAAAACAGAGACGAGGCCCACGGGGGACAATGAGATTATTGGGATTTGAGATTATATTATTTTCATTATTTTAATGATATTATTGATTTATTTTATGAACAACCTAAACAATAACAATGAACTCAGGTGTTTATATTCATTGAACAATAAAATTAATCATGACATGACACTCATGACAGTTGTCTGTTTTCTGACAGAAAACAGAAAACTAAAAGTAGTCTTTTTTTAGCGAAAGGGATATTCACCTTTCTTCTTCCTCCCTGAAAAAAATACTACTGTTGAGGATGATAGTGAATCGAGAGATGTATAGAAATTTACTTACTTCCATCATTGTGAATCGCTACTTCAATGATATTTTTTTTGAGGATCGACCGTGAGCTAATCTTCCGACCGGACATTTTCAGTAGGCTTGAGGTTTGTTAATCTGTGATTTGATTCTCTTATTTACTATATGATGTGAAAACATTGGTTATTCGAATTTACCGTCAATAACATCGATTTGAATTTACCGCCATTGCCAAAATCGCTCCGATTGATCTCTTATACTACAGTGACTGCATTTAAACCACCCTATACATATGTTTGGGCAAAACGGCTCAAACCCCTGTGAAAAAATCTGGATACGCCACATGACAAAAACGACAAAAAGAGTTTAAAAATTACATTTGCTCTTTAGACGGTCAGTCGGGTTATACATGGGACATGGGTTAAGGGTTAAATAGCCTTGGGGTTATAGACAGTCTAGATATTTAGCCCTGTCATTGGTTGAGTGAACCATGAACAATCTAATCTAAAGAAAGAACCTTGGAGGGATTTCTGTACCAATGATACGTTAACACTTGAAGGGCATCGGCCAGAAATATTCATGTTCTACTAGTTCGCACTTCTCTTTTCAGGAAAATGGAATAAGAAGAATTCGGAACTCAACACGGGTATCCTTACTGGACAAAGGGTCAACGAATCAGAAGAAGAAGAAAATGAAATTGGTATCAATTTTTTAGTTTAAGGAAATGTTGATGGAGAATAAAATTTCAATTTCAAATAATCTAACTTCTAGAATGGAAGACTTCGAATGGAATGTTGTAAATGAAGGGCAGTTGTTGGACGCTATGGTAGGCCATAAACCAGTAGGTTGGTATTTATTTTCCCAAACAAAAATAAATAAATACAAAATGCATGTAGTTGAGTAGTAGTAGTAGGTAGTTCTCAATATAAAAATTGCTTCAGGTGTGAACAAATATTTTCAAATGGCTTTCATATGTGACAAATTCACAGACAATTTGCACAAAGATATAAACTCTGATAAAATATGGGCCCATCTAGAAACAATGTATAATCTGGAAGCACTAGATGAATGTGAATCTATACCTTTCCCAAACACTGAAAGAGAATTTAATCTTCCTGATTCTGAGTATGCCAGCCTAATAGGCAAGAAAGAAGATAAAAAGGTACAAACACCTAAAAGCAATCAGGAACTATCTAAATCATTGAAGGATTTTAAAAAAGAAGATAATAAAACTCCAGTAAGACTTCAAAAAGACCAAAGAGACAGAGATGGAAAAGATAATAGAACACCAAAAAAAGATATGAAAAAAGAACCTGAGAAGAGCAAAGTTCCTGTTAAAGGAAGAACTTCAATTTCTGCTGGAAAGGATGATAATAAAACTCCAAAATCCAAATCTGAAGACACACCAAAACTAACCAAACGTCCTACAAGAGGTAGTATGAAACCAAATGATGATTCTGGATCTAGTGGTAAATCTAGTCCCATCACAGTAGCACCTACTGCTAAAAGAAGGAGAATATGAATAATTCCAGGTACTGATTCTTGATTATTCATCATTCTTAGATCAAGGCTGAAGATGTGGATACTTGTGCAAATATTTTATAATAAAAATAGCTCATTTTAAGATTCAGATACACCCTTTTCAACCTAAAATGATCATAAAATATGTTTTTTGAGTAACAATCATTCCAGTATCACACAAACTGCTGTTATGTTGAATATACTTTCATTAATCAAGACCTAATTGAGGCTCAGATGGATGTCATTGTTGAAATTCATCTTATCTGTATCTTAAAAACTCACTTTATAAAGTAACATTCTGAAAAAATATATTTTACTTGGAAACAGAGTAAAAGCTGATTAGCTCTCACCCAGTACAACATATTACCTATCAGACAAGTTAGGTAATGAAAGTATTCTATATCAATAACAAATTTTGTCAGACAACAAAATAGTTGTTTATGCACCTCAAACTGTTATATCCACATCTTATCTTGGTCCTATTCACAGGTGAATCCATAGGATATAGGATTTGGTGAATAATTAATTTGACAACAATGACAGTAATTGTTGTCAACTCACCCTTGGCACAGACCAGGGTTGCCAGTTTGATCTTTATTTCATCAGTATATACCAAAGAATAGTAGGTTTTGTCAAAAATTCAGATCTATTTTATGCTATATGAATTCCAAGAAAGGATAATGAATTAATCCTATGATGTCAAAACATTATGTACTTTCACAAAATACAGTTACATAGGTTCTTAAAAGACTTGAGTATATAAAAAACAGGAAGAAATAGTACAAATGAACAACAAAAATACAAAACAAATGAAAAAATAAACATAAGAAACAAACTGCTATAACAGTGGTATATATAAAATCTGAATTTGATCTGAATCAGATATAGTATTGTTCTTTTTTTGATTTGTACATATTTGTACATTTATTATATTTATTTTCTAAAATTTATTTAAACAGACCATGTGGAAATATACAATTAATAAGTGTATGTGATCAACTAAAGATTTATGATGATATAGGTTATTATAATAATAAATAAATGTCAAAATATTGTTCAGTAGGTAATGAAATGTATCAGTTGATAATATGCAAATTAGGAGTTATACTGAAAATTCAGTAGAACTGGCAACCCTGCAGCGGACGAAAAGTTAGTGTCTGTCTATGGTATCTCTGGACGAAAAGTACTTGCCTTTGGAAATAGTCGGTTTTTCATTGGGAAGTTAGAATGTAAAATGTGAGTTTTGGAAGAGGTCAATGAAAAAACTACTCATATGATTCATGATTATCTTACTGTAACTATTTGTTATTCCTGTTCGTATCAGATACATAATAAATAGGTTTTGTCTATGTATTACTCCATTTTTCACAGGGTCACTCATATTCGTTGTTTGCCTAAGGTACCTATATTCCTTTATCTTGCACTAGAACAAAACCTATCATGCATCGCCTCATGACAATATCAGTGAAATGTCCTTATTGTCTTTCATCTAAATAAAGTTTTGAGTTTTGTAGTTATGTCTCATGTTAGTCTCATGTTACTATGCAGTTCATATGTCACATATGTCAATATTGTATAATTGTTTTCACGTTGCTCAAAGTTATTTTTATGTAGGGTTGCCATTCGTCCAGATTTCCGAGGACATTTCCGGATTTTTAGGGCGTCTGGAGACGTCCGGGCGGGTTTAGAATTTTTTTTACGGATTTTCGTAAGGTCAAACCACTGACATGAACTATTGACATGTCTCTGAAAGTTTGTTCTCAAATTGAAAATTTTTAGATTTGGTTACATGTGAATTAGTTTTGTTTCAAACTGTTGATTGAGAATTCATTTTTCGTTTAAAACAATTCTGAGTTTTTATTCGAGTGCATCATACTACTGAAACTCAAACTTAACTACGGTGATATTCACCATTCACCTTCAAATTTATATGTATATGAAAATATATTATTGGAATTGAGAACAAAAAACGATCAGAGTTTTCAAAATTCGGGATTTTCGATTTTCAGGTATCCTTGTTCTGGTTTTCATATTTTAGAGATGGCAACCCTAGAATAATGAGATATTCACAATATTCAGTAGATAAGTTTCCATTATTTTTTCCCCCTCACCCCTATCCTTACTCAATAGTAGGAAGTCTAAATGAAAATCCAAACTAGAACTTTTTTGGTGATTTTTTAGTACATTTTGAGTAGCTGGGCTGGCAGCACTGAGTCAATCTGTCAATAATGAATAAGTGAACATATTTTAATGCAAAAAATGTCATAGTTGGCTATACTTTATGATTACGACTATTCCACTCAGTTCACAGTTTGGCATGAAATAATTATTATGGCTGTACTTCTCAGAATGAATCACTCATTTATAATAAATGCTATTTATGTTTCGTGAACGTGAAATAGTCTACCAAAATACCACTATGTTCTGAATATCTTCTTATAATCCTGTCTTTCATCCTGCCGTGAAAAATGACTCCCTTCCAAAACCCAAATTCGCGATTGGGAGTAGGAAGAAATATCCTATGCAACACTGGACAGACTTTAGTTCATTTGAGATAATCACCTTATGCATTCATCCACTTGTTGTTTATTGCTAGTGGTTTTCAAGATATTAGTTTTAATTGGGACTTGGAGAGGTATCCTGATGTATAGTCATATATGTACCTACTATTTCTATATATGGCTCATCGCCTATTATGATATCTCAACAAAAATGGGACCAAAATGAGAGGTACTTTCTGAATCTATAAGGACGGAAAATTTGAAATAAGTAATAAGTAGCCATATTGTCGTGTTATTTTTTTCCCTACGTCGGCATCAACGCCTATTGGTCGATTTCGTTACCTATAGAGACAGAAGTTGGCCCCACTTTGAGGACAGCGATGATTCATATATGAGTAGTAGATATATATGTGTATAGTATTTAGTAAAGTATAGTATATCGTATAACCGGTACGGCACGAGACTGCAATTTTTTTGGATTAACTATTCTCCGAGACATTGCTTTAACTTGTTTGAAGTGCTAGGTGAGTTTTGAGTTGAAAGGTCCACTTATTCACTGTGGTCTTTAAAACACGCGCGATTTTTCAAGCACGACGGCCTAGCCAGTTATCCACGAATACTATATATGTAAGTTTGTTGCTGTGTTGCCGTGGTAATTTTATAAAAAAACACGCGTTTTCGAATATTGGATTCGAACAAGCTTAGGCGTATGAATAGATACAAAACTCTCATGAACAAAAAATGGTAGATGCGGGGGGAAAACAACTAGTTTCCTGGCTACGCTGAGGCGTTCTTCAAATAAGCATTGTAGAGTACAAAAAAAAAAGATTTTTTCTGATACTTACGTCAAAAATGCGTCATTATTGATGCCTTTTAAATGTCAGAAGAGGCTATATTTTTGGACAGAGTGCATACAAAACTCTACACAGCATCCAAAAAAATAGACCTACGTATTTTATACAGCAAGTTAACACAGTATACTGACTTTCAAAACAATGATTTAATGGAATTTACATTTTCATACTGAAGAACCTAAGTATTGGAAAAAATCATGTATACAACTCGAATATAAAGCCTCTCTTTTTCCCTTGTGAGGTTTTATGTGTAAATAACCATTTCTAATAATTAAAAAGAACAAGAAAACAATAAAACAACCAAAAATAGAAAAAAAAAATAGCATTATGTCAAATTATTCATATAATTTTGTAACCTATAACAATGGAAAATTCAAATCGAGAACACCCTGTATATTTTTGCATTTGTATAGTTCACATTGTATTACAAAAAAATAACAATTTAGATGTGTTAATTCTGAATTAATGAAGAGTTATTGTGAATATTAAATTATTCATGACCACTGAAATTGTTATTTTGTTGTAATACAATGCAAATTATACAAATACAAAAATATACAAGGCGATTTAATTTTTTTCGAAAAATATATGGTATTCCTTGATATTTTTGCATTTGTATAATTTATACATTGAACCAAACATGTTTGGACATGATTTTCCCAAAATATTCAATAAGTTATCATTGCAGCGAAAAGTTAGGTAAGAATACAATCTTTTGATGTTACCTACATGAATAAGGATTCTGATCGAAAATAATTATTGATTTAGGGGTTTGTTTCTCCTCTTGAGTTATAGTATTCATCATTGTTGGGATTCATTTGATTGGACTTGTTATCATTGGCAGCTTTAGTCAAAGTACTAGCGAGACTGATGATGCCGGCCACCATATCTGAAAAATAAAACGAATTTTATAAGGATTCAATATTTGATAATAATTGTCATGTTGAAATTGAAGCCAACAGGAGCAATTCTCAAGGTGGGGCCGTGTGACCGGTATGTTTAATGGGTTGATCACAAGACTGGGAGACGGTCAGATGTGTTGGGGATTTCTGTTTTGAATAAAGGGTTTTTGTTTTTACATAATGTTGTTGATCCAAAACCGAAATAGCCATTGTTGTCATATTTTCCTTTCCGAACCCCACTCCAACTACTTTGTATCCAATCAGTGTATCATTCTCTATTTGGTTAGAAATTATCATTATGACCATACTGGATTTGATAAGTCACGTCATGGTGATGTCTAACGACTAGGGGTGACCAAATTTACCGATAATGCGATAATTATCGAAAATTGTCGTTATCGATAAAAATTCAAATAAAAAAATAATCTATTTATCCGATAATATCGATATTCTCGAATAGCAATATTAAAGATGATATAAAATTCGATTCAAATGAATATAACTACTGCTGATAGTTTTGATAATCTTAATATCACATCGATGTCATGTTTTGATGACCGAATATCATTTTGACTCTTACAACTGCCCAGCTATCTTCTTTATATTATAATAATAAGTACTTGCATTTATACAGTGTGTCCGCCGTTAAGTATGGAATAAATTCGATATTTTCTGAACTAAAAGGACCCATTTCAAGAAAAAATCAAACAGGTCGATTTTTAATTTCAATGTTTTACATTTTACAACAATATTT